TCTCTTTTATTCTTTAATTATATGACCAATTATTAGGCTATAAGCCGTCTTCAGATACAAGAAAGCAATGATCTGAGATGCAATACTTTTACAACGTGCATAACAAAAGAGAAGGAAAACAGGTTTTAAACGTTTTATTTCATCATTTGCAATTAGTATATATATAATCCATAGATAAACAATTTCAAATGAAATATATTAATTCACACATAAATATCATATTTTATTTGTATATCACATATACATGCATTAACAATTAAACATTAAATTAATTATCTCACGTTTAATGTAGACTAGTTTTCTATATACAGCGTCACTTATAAACTCTGATACCACAGAAACTGATAAACTAACGAAAATAACATAATATATTTTACATTGTCAATATAGTTTGAAATGAAATGGGGTTCAAAGTCCCACTTTTCTGCACAGTATAGTTTGACAGTGTTTGTATAATTTTTGGGTCATACCAATCACCGACAAGAACAGAAAAGGAAAAGGGCGTTCTTTTGCCAAAAGTACCCGATGGATTGCAAACAGGGACGGACAAGGAAATCTTCTAGATAAGCATTATATACATCATAGCCAAAATTTAAGTTATTTCATAAATAAATGACCAAATTAATGAAAATTTAAATTTTGACAATAACATTTTATTCCAAGTCGGTCACTTTTTACAAAACTTAGGGCGATTTTGACAAAATGCGCTCTTATCAGTGATTAGTTGGACCGTAATTTGTGATCCCGAATTTGTGGTTCGAATCATCCCAGATACTTGAGACAGTTGACGAAAACTTTTATATCTTGGAAGCTCATTATCATTATCAATGAATTTTTTTTAGTCTATAATCATACACAAGAAGATATATTTTTACTTAACGATTTAAAATTAAATATATTATTAATTCACACAAAAATATCGTGTTTTAAATGTTGTATGTTGTACGTGCATTACCTCACGTTCGTTTTATGTGATTGTAGACTAGTTGTCACTACATTCACTACAACGTGACCCAGAAATAATAAAGTAATAAAATAACATTTATTTTACATTGTCGGAATGAAATTTATATTGGGGGGGGGGGTGCAGTCAGCGTAACTGAATGGGATCTCGGGACAATCTGTAATACATATTTGCAAATAATTGCATCTCCAGTACCCCCACCCCCTTCCCCCGGGCCGATTCCGACGCCCCCGATTTCCTGACCAGAGTCACATACACTCACAGCTTGTTCGGTCGGTTGAGGAATTCGAGACCGACCGGAATTCTTTTACCTTTGAACTTTGAAGCTAATGGGGAAATAAACGTAATGTTTATGTCGTACCAGGGAAAGAGTAATAGAATCAACTAGGAATCCACCCTGTGGCCATTCAAACCTTTTAGGTTGATAAAATATTATAAACAACATTTTATTCACGCCCAGCCAAGTGATTCGTCTGATAATAGATAAGGAAATATCTTTAGCCAAGTGATTCTTCTCTTAATAGATAAGGAAATAGCTTTAGCCAAGAATCTAAGGAAATAGCTTTAGCCAAGAATCTAAGGAAATAGCTTTAGCCAAGTGATTCTCTCTTAATAGATAAGGAAATAGCTTTCAGTCATCAGTTCGAACTTGATATATCATAATTGGCTATGTGATTTAATTGTTTTGAGAATAGCAAATAAATTTGGATCTTGAATGAAAATGTATAACATTTCATCCATGCAAAAACACAGAGCGTGAACGAAGCCTATTCTAAAAAATGCCTAACAATCTAAATACAAGATAAGCTGTTAGTCTAAAGCAACTCGAGATAAGATAGCCGTTGTAATGCCATATTTAAACAATTGTTAGTCTACCACTATCAACATGTTTTATTCTATCATATCCATTGCTTGACTTTCCCGCGTCTTCAGATTCTTCAAAGCTCTGTTCCTCGTCGATTTCTTCAATAACACGGATACGCATTTTGTAGGCCTGATATTTTGACTCATCGTAATCACTAGCCAGAAGACAAGCCTTGACCTTGGTCAGAGAAGCATTCGACGCAAACACGTTTTCATAAAGTAGCCCCGCAACTACACCGCCTAATAACGGACCGATCCAATAAACCTGAAAAACAACATGGGATTATCTATTAATATACACTTAAGGGATCTATTAATATACACTTATGTTTGGAAGAAAATACGTTCCCCTTATCTCGGTCCTAATCTCGCTTCGTCGCAGCTTCGTTGCAGAAATATTCAGTGCATTCGCTTCGCCATGAGTCTGTACCCTGAAAGCAAAGCCGCAAGGCAAGAAAAAGAACATCTTTCATCCAATTTGTCCTTATCATTTTTTTTTTTTATTAGGATTGAAGACTATATATAATCTTCAAATTAGTCCGAGGCGACTTTAGTATCCTCTGATCAGTTTATTTAATTGATACAAATCTTCTACATGACTATTGTTTACATAACTCAGGGATTACAATTTTTATATTTGGCAGTGGATAAAATTGGTAATAGACCCAGTTGTGTGTGAAAGGCCCTTAGAACCCTTCATTGTAGAGACAAGCAAATGTATATAGCTGTCAGGTGTAGTTTGAGACGCAAAATTTACTTGTTTATGGCTTTGATTCCCGTGTCCTACATAAATTTGTTTTCAAGCTTGTAATAGAATGAAATTTGCAGGTTTTCGTAATAATATTGTAATCACCACTTGATAAAGTTTACAAACGGATTAACAAAAAGTTAAGTTAATTCAATGAAAAATGGGAAGCGAGCGGTATAAAAGAATTACACAACATCAATAAGCCAAGCTGAAACGAGGCAATGAGCTGCTCTTTTAACAATAAGCAATATAACTTCCGTTGGCAAACTCTTTCAACCAACGGCTGCCAGGCAGGATACGCCCACATTTTGCAATGGATGGAGAACAAGCTAAACAAAAAGCGATTTTTCGTAACATCAAGGGCCATAATCCAGGAAGGTACGATCAGATATGTGCGAATATCAACAGGAACCAAGATCTTTGGGTTATGAACATGCATTTCAAGTTTCATTAAAATCGGATCAAAATTGTGACCTCTAGAGGACCCACAACCTTGATATACCAGATGTTTACACAATTTGCGTAGAGGGGTGGCCATTTTGTCTGGCAGTTTTCGTCCGATGTTCACGAAATTCGAACTCAGCCAACATTACGATGTAACAGTGATATATTCAAACGTTTTTGTAAATCAGGTAATAATTGTTACCTCTAGAGGGACCACAAGCTAAAAATATGATTTTTCGTACACTCAGGGGTCATAATTAAGGAAGTTACGGTCCGATATGCGCAAATATCGACAGCAACCAAGATCTTTGGGTTATAAACATGCATTTCAAGTTTCATCAAAATCGGATAAAATTGTGACGTCTAGAGGGTCTACAACCTTGATATACCAGATGTTTACACCATTTGCGTAGAGGGGCGCCATTTTGTCAATTTTGGTCCGATTCAAACATTACGGTGTAACGGTGATATATTCGAACAGCTTTTTAAATCAGTTAATAATTTCGACCTCTAGAGGGACCACAAGCTTTAAACGCGATTTTTCATACGATCAAGGGCCATAATTCAGGTAGTTACGATCCGATATGCGCGAATATCGACAGGAACCAAGATCTTTGGGTTATAAACATGTATTTCAAGTTTCATCAAAATCAGATCAAAATTGAGAGCTCTAGAGGGCCATATACCATATTTTTAAACTGTTTGCGTTCGAGGGGCGGTCTTTTTGTCCGTCAGTTTTGGTCCGATTTTAACGAAATTCGAACCCAACCGTCATTAAGGTGTAATGTTTTTTTTTTAAATCGGAATAAAATTGTGACCTCCATAGTGTCCACAAGCTAAAAAACATGATTTTTCGTACAGTCAGGGGCCATAATTCAGGAAGTTACGGTCAGATATGCGCGTATATCGACAAGAACCAAGATCTATGGGTTATAAACTTACATTTCAAATTTCAACAAAATCAAATAAAAATTGTGACCTCTATAGGGTCCGCAAGCTAAAAACGCGATTTTTCGTACAATCAGGGATCATAATCCATGAAGTTAAGGTCCGATCCATGCCAATATCGAAAGGAATCGAGATCTTAGGGAGATAAACCTATATTTCAAGTTTCTTTGAAATCGGGTGATTGTGGACAGACGGACGGACAGGGACGACGACAATATACATGTACGTCCACATGAAAATGTGGGCGTATAAAAATTCACTTACATAATGCTTATCCCAGTTCCCCATGACTAAGGCAGGGCCTAAACTTCTGGCTGTATTCATACTGGAGCCTGTGTATTGTATCTGTAACAAAAGCAAGATTATTATTCTACAAAACCAATTCCTAGTCACACTATTTAAGTCATGAGATAGTTACGGACTTGACGTATAGTACGGTTAATCACGGTGCGTCACGATTGCTATAATTTAAGGTTAATGGAGGGGGGGGGGTATTTATCTGTCTTTTCTGTCTGCAATATCACCCTAGAAGTACCTGTAGCAAAAATTGTAGAAGACTCAAGGGATCGTAGAAATTCGTAGTACGGTCGAAGTAATCCGTAAAACATTCGTCATAAACCATAGATGCATCGTGATCAATCGTGACGCATCGAGATTAATTGTGCGACAACCCCGTAGCAAAACATCCAAAGCGTAGGACAGTAGTGGTAATAGTATGGTGATCGTAGCACTTTCGTAGCGGTCGTATGTAGAACTTTCATATCGTATACGCAGTAATCCGGAGAATATTCGCTATAAACTGTAGATGCATTGTGATCAATCGTGGGGAATTCTTGAGTGTTCGTTGCGGCTGTCGTAATAAATGTACCGAACATTGGTAAAATATCTAGATAACCCCTGGATATTCGTACTGATACTTGATGAAAATCTCCAACAATAAACTCGAATGGCTAGGTTCCTTGCCCGGTACCCAGCCCTGCACGAGTGACATGCATGTATTTACAAATGTGTATACTTTCTATAAACGAACGATTCTTTTGAATTATTTTATCTAATGAATCTTTCATTAATTTTTTTTTATAAAATACCGTTCGAATAAATCGAAGGAACAATTCTTTAAACAATGTTCATTAATATAAGGCGTCGGTTGCGAGACAGAGTATAATATGTTCACAAGAAATTTTGATCGATGGACATAGAGGTGACGGAAATAAAAGTATAGTACAAGGTGGGTATGTAAAAAAAATGGCGTAAGATATAGCAAAAAGCCGTTTATTGATTTAAATAACCATGCTAGATTATATTATTACAGTAATATCAAGTTTTCACTAATAGTCATAAAATAATTATAATATTTTAACATGCTAATAAACGTAAACTATATTTACAAAATGACTATATAAAATTCAACATTAATATTCATCTCCATGCATGTTTCTTTTTTTAAAAATCCTTGCTTTTACATATATTTAAAAAAAACCAAGCCAAAAGTGAGGCTGATGTCCCCCGCCGAAATCCCAAAATAAATAATGACACATATTAATTAATCGCACATTTTTTTTTTCAAAAGTATCGAGCAATCAAACCATACACTAAGTTCCATCACTCTCTATCAGATAGAATCAAGATAATCTTGACCCAAAGCATCGACAAGCATCCAGCTCGAAATGTTAATCATTGAACTCAGTCAAGACATTCATCTAATGCTCATCTACATCAAGTTTAAACGTTCACCTAATAGACACCTACACCAAGTTTGAACATTCTAGCTCAATTAGGAAGAGAGTTATTGTGTCCCAAAAAGTGTGACGGACGGACGGACGGACGGACGTACCCATTTTAATAGTCCCCTGCTTTCTTCGAAAGGCGGGGGACAAAAATTATTAATAGTATGTTTCAGTTTTATGTATAGCGGTGAAATTATGTATGGGTATGATGTAGAACTGATGAGAAAAGGCGAAACACGATTATCTCCCATTATGGCTGAAGGCAGCCCAATACGTCGGTAATTTTCAAACTGACAACGGTGTTTCGATCTATTCTCTTTCCAATCTGGGAAGGACACTTTCGATTAATTGTTCGCGACTATCAGAAACAAATTTTGATGGGGGCATTAGATTGGTTTAAGTCTATTATTGTATGATTGTTTATTTTTAATGACAAATTATTACGGCACATAAATATTTCTCCATTAAAAATAATATATTTATTAGATATGCGACAACAGAGGTTAAACACATATTTTTTTCTTGAATAATTAATTATTAGCACGTTTCCAAATGTAATTACAAAATATTACATTCAAAAGTTACAATACAAAAATACCTTTGGGTCTGTACTACAGAATGACTTTATTAGATCTGTAGTACAGAATGAATTTATAAGATCTGTAGTACGGAATGACTTTATCAAATAATACAGAATGACTTTATAAGATCTGTAATACGGAATGACTTTATTAAATAATACAGAATGACTTTATTAAATCTGTACTATAGAATGACTTTATTAAATATGTACTACAGAATGATTTTATTAGATCTGTACTACAGAATGACTTTATTAGATCTATACTACAAAATGACTTGATTAGATCTGTCATAGATATTACTATTACGGTACACATAAAACTGCGTATGATCTGATCATTTATGACCATTAAAACTATGTTCTGTACTTTTTACAACAAAAACTGTCCGTTTTATAAACTACAATACAATCAATAATCAAGAGAACAAAATGGAATCCCGCATGGGTCAGCATGTGCCATGATGTCTTTGTTTTTAACAAATCACAAAACTCGATAATAATATTAGTATTGATCAAAACATCCTTGTATATTTCTCATTCATTGACATCCAAAAGAAATCATTTAAAGATGCATTATGAAAGATTTAGATAAAGAGCCGGACGTTCTTGGTGTAACAGTTCAAACATATATAATAGAAAGTGAAACATAGATAATGGAAAGTGAATATATTGAAAATTTCATTTAAATTACTTTTTTCTGGGCGAAATTATGAATGTTCGAAGATATAGCGTAGATCGTTCATTATCGTAGAGACGATACTTGACAAAAGAGGCCTAGCCTCGATTGTCTATTTTATTGTTAAATTTTTAAATCTCGCGGATGTTTAAATCCTTTTAAATCTCGGCCATCTGATGATCTAGAGAGTTTATTGTACACTTGTTATATCAATAAATGTCTAAATGATAATATAATATATAACATTTTATGCTAAAAGAAAGACCTGCAATAGACCGATTTAGCTCTTACATAATGCATCTTTAAACCCATTTGTAAGATGGATAATGGAACTGGTTAAATGACGATATTATATGGGCTAAGAAACAACAACCGATGTATCCGAAGACAGTGGCGTGCATGGACGGGCCCGGGCATCCATTTCGAGGGGGGGGGGGTGCAATCAAAATTATTTCTATTAACTTCGTTGTACAAACTGCCCTACTTTATTTCAATAAAACGTTTATTTCATATGTTTTGACATATCTAATATGTGATCCTTCCTCACATTTCTCGATACTAGGCCCTACGTTTTAGTAGTTGTCCCCGGGCATCACCAAATCTCTGCACGCCACTGTAATGTTTGTTCCAGTTTGAATTTCCAAATATATCTTTTCAACATGCAACGGGTTTTGGCTGTTATTTCTAGTCTTGGTACAATTTCTGTTGGCCATCTGTCTAGTAGTAGTAGTATTTTCCTCTGGGAATTTAGTAATGTAGATATTATTGAAGTTTGTTCTCTTGGGGCCATCTGGTGGGTGTTCAGACTCTATTATCATTCTTTTCAGACACAAAACTATCTTCAGGATTTTCTTCCTCCAGTGGTTCTTCGATGATTCTAACTCTCAACTTATGAGCCTTATATTTGTCATCATCGTAGTGACTAGACAGTATGCATGCCTTGGTTTTAGTCATAGAAGCGTTTGCTGCGAAGATATGTTCATACAATAAACCAGCTACCACACCACCTAGTATCGGTCCAACCCAGTATACCTGTAAAATATCAATCGTTAATATTAATTTGCATGCAGAGCAAGAATAACGATATGTCTATAGATAGATAAACAAATAAAAGCCCACCCAAGTAGTCCAAAACAGTTGTCGAAATCTAGTTATAAATTTGGGCTCTAGACCATTTTTTAAACATCAATAGGCAATGAGTATCAGCAGTGTACAGAAATAAGTTTAAAACCGATCGGATAATAACTTTAGCCTGTAAACACTCCCACAAAGTATTATTGATAACCATCAGTAGAAAGGGCTGATGGCAATATAAAACCACATTTATATAATATAATATAGCCCTGTTCACCATAGCTGCAATATTGAAGAGGCGTCTTGCCATAAACAAAGTACCGCCGTTTGCATAGAAATAAGCAATTATGTTACAAATAGGAAGAGTGGAGAACTGAAACAGTACGAACAGTTTTTCTACAATTTTGAGGTGACGTTTAATCACGCGCGTATTCTAATTCATTCTCGGTATCCCCAGTTCTACTCCACTAACCTTTGGGTCCATTCACGAATTCAAATTATCTGTTCAATCAAAAAACAGTTTACATAACAGTCTTAGCGTCATTGTTGACGTTCATCACAATAATGTTAGTTGCAATAAAATGCGAGTTACTTCACTTCGCCCACTCGATTGGTCGATAAAAATAACAGATATATCAAGGGGGGATAATTTGACTAAGTGTCTCCCCCGTGAATGGACCCAGACGTTAATGGAGTAGAACGGAACGGTACCACTGGGAATACTGAGAATAGTTCTAATTCTGGTTTGGCCACCTTTTTAAAAACAATTGTAACATCGCGTAGTCGTTGGATTTGATTAAAACACGAATTTATGTGGTAAAGTTTCACATTTATTTACGTGGGAATTGGTTTATTATATGTTAAGCTATGTTCAGTTTGGGGTCAGTTTAATTGAAAATTAAGGGAGTTATAGGCCAGTATCAAATAATTATAAAACTTGCACAAAGGAAGTCCTTAGAACGACCCATTACTGTGGCTAGAGCAAGACATCAGTAGTGGAACCAATTCTATGTTTACCTAAGCTATATGGCTACTGCATAAATCCAGACTGCAGGGATTAGCTAGCAGAGATATAGTGTCAAAACAGCTCAAGACACTGATCGTTTCAGAATTTAAGAGGAAATACTTATTAAACTAGGCTACAGGCAGTACTGTTGTTAATGTTAATCAAAAACTTTGACCCATTTCTATAGTATACCAAAAGTTGAAATTATTTTTTTGTGAACTGTATGGCATAACAATCTCAGTTAACGAATTTTATCTTCTCAACATAGATGAACTGTCTTATAAAATGTAGATGGACTGCCTCCTAAGACATATGACATTCCTTTGACAATAGCCATGGGCAAGCGAATTAAAAAGGACCATTTTATTTTTTTTATCTGACTACAGGTCATCAATCAAAAAAGGGATTAATTGATGTTTTTTGTGACATTGGGTAACTCATCGATATCGAAATATCAGAGCTGTTGCACTCAAACCAGTATGATACCGCAGAAAATTTCATCAAAGTTGAGTATTTGATCTTTCTGAATGCAAACTGTAAATATTATCAACGTGGTACACCAACTAATACTGAGACGAATGTTGCCCCCCCCCCCCCCAGTCCCACAGACACACACACAATTCGATTAGATGGCACTCATCAATTAGTTGCTAATTTATCCTTTTATAAAACATCGATAGATCAAGTTGCTTATCACCCTGCTTAAGCTGTGCAAATAATGCCTGTTATCGAAATCACTCAAGGTGTTGATGTAATGAAACAATACACCAAGTTCCATCACTTCCCTTCAATTAGGATCAAAGTTATCATGTTACAAATCAAATCGCATCTCTCTGCTTACCCTAAGCAGAAAATGTTCATCACCGAATCACTCAAGACATTCACCTAATGAACATCTGTGCCAAGTTTGAAGATTCTACCTCAATCAGAATCAGAGTTATCTTGTCCCAAAGCGTGTTACGGAAGGAAAGCGGACGGACGGCGGACGGACGGACGGACGGGTGTTCCCATTTTAATAGTCCCCTACTCTAGTCGAAAGGCCGGGCCAATAATACAAAGCGTATTTATTATAGCATTTTTGCTGGGAAAAGGACCCAGGAGAATCAAATGCAATATGGAATTCGCCAGCAAGTTTAGTACGAGTTTTAAGGTCGACATCTTATTTTCTGTGCTTATATTTATCTTATAGAACATCCACTGCTGTTCAACCATTTACAGCTACAAAACCACTGGTGATAATATTGTAGCAGTGAAGTTCATGAAGAAACGAAAAGACTACCAAAAAAAAAAAAAAAAAAAAAATGTTACCCGAAAATAATATGGTTTATTTAACTTACCCAATGATGTTCCCAGATTCCTATTACAACTGCTGGTCCAAAAGTTCTGGCAGTATTCATACTGGAACCAGTATACTGTATCTGTAAACAATAAAACATTTGTTACACATGTCGATGACCATAGATTTGTCAAAGAACTGAATAAAGACATTCAAACATACCGACATTCAAACATACCAACATAGGTATAGATATTATCATAGCAACATGTATAGATATTATTATAAACATCGATAATATGTGTAATTAAAATTAATAATTATTAACGCCTTACAAAATTTAAATAAATATTAAATTTATAACAAACAAGATAGTGTTACAACCTAAACCCGAACACAAGCAAAAAAAGAAAACATAGATCTAAAGCGTATAGTCATCAGGAAAAATATGTCCTGTACGTGTTTTGTTAAGAAGTTGGAAGTAAAAGAAAACTACTTAAAACCATTTTATAAAAGGGTTGTATGTGACTGGCTATTAGAACCAAAGAAATTGTGCAAGTTACGGGATTAATACACTTAAAGGAAATTAAACGTGAAAGTGTGATATGGAAAGATTGAAAGATGAAGTTAAGATGAACGATGATAGCATCAAGGGAAATGAGAAAACCAATTGGTAATCTTTGCCGTTTATCTGAAGCATTGGTTTTACAATAGCTTAATTTTTTTAGCTGGAATTAGTTGCATTGGATTAATGTAAGTCTATGAAATAAGTATAGAAAGATTATAAAGATTGTTAAATTTACAGATGGCGATCGCAGTGTCCAATTAGCTAGAAAACCAAAAGCAACCATTTTAGTTTTAGATGTCATTCGACATGATGTCACTTACCGCCGTTGGTATATCCATGATAAAGAGAGCAGATGATCCAAGGTGGCCGTTTTGTCGCAAAGTTGTTGAAAATTTAAAACGAACAAAGTGGTCGTTTTGTTGCAAATTTGTTGAAAATTAAAAAGAAATGCCCAAAGATCCATTTGTGAAAAATATAACAGCAATATGAATTATCGTTAGCTTTAAATCGGGTTTAATAATAATGATTGATCCACGAACGAACAACATGACATAGTCGGTTAAAATCATCGTGCATCGGATGAATTGGTCAATTATTACAACCTAACAAACTGTGTTTACCATGGTGTACTATTTAGTTTTAAAATTCCCGAAGTAATTAGAAAACCCCGAGTTCGATCTCTAAGAAGTCAGAACTTTTGTCGTACATGTGTAATTAAGGTGATAAGTTATAACAACCCTTATTAGTAATTATCAGTATACAAAAATAGTACAAAATATATAGGACCGTGGGTTTAATCTATTTATTAATCACCGCCAAATTACTAGGATAAAACTTTAAAGTACAACAGTATTTTTTTTTTAAATTGACATATCTGAAATATTTCCAAATGGAAAAACAAACAATGGATGTGGTTCCCTAAGATTCATTAACAAATAAATCATATAATTATATGACACAGAAACCAAACTCTCGGGATTATAGGGCTTAAATTAAACATGTTTAAAATAACAGTACATGTTATATCTAGATATACTGCAGACTATTTACTTTTACAATGAACCAACGTTGGAATTCTGTCAACTCTATATCGTCCGTTTGTCATTGTCATCTATTGACTTAACCTCAGATACGATGTTAAACGGATGAACAGGGGTCAACTTTGGAGTAAAAACATATAGTAAAATCATATACCCTGTGATAGCACATACACGTGCCCAAAATCATATTAGCGCTATCTACAAATTGACCGATTTGATAATATTATAATATTTAATATCAGTGTTTGATCAAAGAGGCGAAACATCAAAATCATGGGGTTTAAGAGACTCGCACTTCAAAAAAGGAAAAGTCACACAAAATTGGGTCTTTAAAGTACAACCCGTGCTAAACATATTCGCATGGTCAGTGGAACATCTGCAATGGACATAAACAAAATGAACGACTGAGGATGATCGGCTGTTCTGCAAACAATAATCGACATTAATTATATTATAATTATGATTTATATTACATATTTCTGATTTCCGTCCTCCTTAACAAAATGACCACCGACATTAAGAATATACTGTATTCACTTTAACATTTCATTTGGACAACGTGTACTAATATGTACTTTATTTCACGTGAGTTTGAAAAACTGCTGGCCTTTAACCTTGATACAAACTGGCATTAACTTCTCCGGTCCAATAACAGACTCATTAAAGCTGACCTTAACTGTAACTTGCTGCAATAATATAGTTTACTTGATAATAGCTTGATAATGTGTTTTAATGCATCTCAAATTATCGTGTCATTTAGATAGGAATTTAGGAGAAAAACTTTCTCTGTAGCCTTTTCTGACGTGGATTAACGTCAACGAAGAGAATGTTTTATATAAGCGATGGAATTTTAGAAAATGGTGGTGTAATGGCGAATCAACTGCAATGTAATGGATCTACCTTGGTAGATGCTAAATGCAATTGATTAACGTCAACGAAGGGAATGTTTTATATAAGCGATGGAATTTTAGAAAATGGTGGTGTAATGGCGAATCAACTGCAATGTAATGGATCTACCTTGGTAGATGCTAAATGCAATTGATTACATTCCTAATAATAGCAAAAAAATAGTTCGTATTTAAGCTTCCGTAAATCGCTAATATTATAATCAATCATTCAAAACCCACTATTGCGCTTCAGATTACCTATGCATGAGTTCTGAATAGGAGAGAGAGAGAGAGGGAGAGAGATTTAACGTCCACTCGACACAAACTAGGTCATTTCGGGGCTAACATATGGTTCAATTTTAGGAAACCGGAGGACCCGGAGAAAACCCACGAGGTTGGACAGGCGATCCTACTCCTTGTCACATACAACCGGGGAATCGAAACAAGTTGACTCAATTTCAGAATAGGTGCGGAGCACAAAATTTTAAAATAGATATAACAATCCCTTCATCCCATCATAGTCAAAATGTGTTAAAGGGCGTATGGCTCTATTTTTCTTATGTTCGGTGAATTACGCGAACAGTCCAAATTGAACGACAATGGTTTACGCCTAATTAGCCCATTCTTCACGTTTTTTTTTATTATTATTATTTTATCATTTGTGAATCAGCCGTTATATACTAAACAGCTAAAACAAAAAAAGAAAAACCCCAAAAAAACGTCTGTGCGATTTCAAAACCAGAGAGGAACCTTAATCAAATCATTCTAGAAAACGACTTACTAAATGGATCAAAGCAATTTTTTGATTTTTTGTGAACAGTATGTTGACACATTAGTGATTAATTCATCATAATTCCAAGACATTACGAGAAGGTTTAGAGTCTGTACACAGTCTATATATCAGTATCTGGTGTGTTCACCGTGAGTGTCAATAATAGCAGCGCAGTGTCTGTACATGGAGTGGACCAGACGCCCAGTGCATAATGTTGACACAGTTCTGCTGTAGAAAGTCCCGAGTAACTCTGGCGGTGTGGGCACGGGCGTTGTCATGCTGGAAAACGTTGTTTCGATGACGTGCGAAATGTGGTATGACGTGGGGTCTGAGAGCTTTATCGATGTAGCGCACTGCTGTGATGCCGCCTCCTCTCCCTGGACCAAGATTTTGGAACATCACAGGACCCACTCCCTGGTTCAGGTCGATTCCACTCCAAACCATTATGCATGGACCTCCCCATGAGTCTCGTTCCATGACACATCGGTCAGAATAACGATGGCCACGTCGACGCCATATTCTGGTCCTGCCATCTGCAGTTGATACGCAATGCCGACTCTCCATTGCCTGTGTCGCCAGTTCTGGTGTTGTTGGGCAAACTGCAGACGTTCACGTCGATGGCGAGGGGTAAGAATCGGTCCACGGTAAGGTCTACGGCAATGGATGTTCTCTCTGGTGAGACGTCGGCGCACTGTATCGGTACTGATGGGTCTTCCGAGTGTTCCCTTTGTCTGACATGTTGTCTCAGATGCTTGTGTGAAGGGATTCTGCACGTGCTGTTGCACAACATGGCGGTCTTGTAGCCTTGTGGTAACCCTTAGTCTACCAGTTCGGGGGCGATCATCCGTGGTGTTGGTGCCCCGAAAGCGTTGCTGAAGCCTGTAGATGGTCCGAACAATGACCTAGAAGTGATTGGCAAAGATTTGGGCAGTGTGGCCAGCGTCGAGTCTTCCAAGCGCCTGGTTCCTCGAAGCTGTCGCGAGTCGTGGCATGCTGCTGACGTTGAAGTGTGAATGATTCAACCAGGTATGGGGGGGGGGGGTGTATTTTATAGGGCTGGTCCCGGTGAACAGCAAGTGCAGCATGAGTTACATGAAAATCATGGAGAACACATTACCATCTCAGAAGTCAGGTTGCGTTTTTGAGAACATTTCCTGGGTTCAATTCTGTGTCTGGGAAGGAGCCTTATTGCTCAGGTAAAGTTGGAGATGTGATCACAAATATACAATAAAAACATTTGGCAAGTTTTATGCAATGCGTCTATTCAAAGTTTTAAACATACCAACCCGATGTTTCTTTTGCTGCTTAGTATATTTACTCCCGCATTGTAATGTCGGATTATGTTTTTCTTTGTTCATTCTTTTTGTGCCCGAAACGTCAGAGTACAGATTTTGATATGTTAATTGTGTCTTAAATATTGGATATTAGGATCCCAGAATTGGATTGAAATGGACCAATATTGAGTTCTAAATTGTGTTTTTAATTTCGAATATTATGGAAAATATTGAATTAGAAGTTCAGCTCCTTTAAACATCTACCCAGAATTTCCAATAATAATTACCTTGAATATGGAACAGGTAATCACAACCCTTCAGGTAAAATCAGACAACAATTTTTTTGACAAATTCGCATGTGCAAAAACAAACACCTTAAAAAACAAAACCTAACAAACCGCCCACCAATTATGTTAGCAACTAGATTATGTAGTCGATTATATTTTCATGAGATATCTATCTATATGACTGGTTAATAAAACACATCGACACCATTATATAAAGTATTCACATCAATTCATGTCTAAGCTAAACATTAAACTTATATAAAACAGACATTTACGATCATTATCAATATACTTCGCAAACAATATTCAGAAAA